GCAGCCCTTGCCCAAACATGGAACCAACCAGTACCTGGATCTTAGGCTTCCAGCCCCCAGAACCAAACCATAAATCTCTATGGCTTTAGGCTGCCCCATTGTGTGGCACTTTTTTATAGCAGCAAGACTGGCCTGAGCCATGTAGCCATCGAGTGGCCCTGATCCCTCAGAGCAAAACCCTGTATCGAGACAAGTTCACCTCAAAGGTAAGCATGCTTAAGGCAACCCATTCACACTGACACCTGCCTGGTCCCCATAGGGTGCCTCACTGGTGACACCTTCAGAATTAGACTGAAGGTAAAGTAGAAACTTCACCAGGTGAAGGCAGACAGCCCCGCACCAGCTGTGATGGGCCCTTGGTGTTGCTTAGCAATGCTTTACCAAATAGCTGGGTCATTTCAAATGCATGAGCTCATACACCTTATGAGGCTTCTGAGGCCCATCATTCCTCCTGCAGAGGCTCTCTGAAGTCACACAGCTAGGCAGTCAATGGGCCTGATGCAAGGAAGACCCCAGCCTGTGCAGGATGAAAGAGGCTCTAAGGTGGGGCACTGCACCTCTTGTTACACAAGAGGTTGTACCCAGGTTGGGAGGTCAGTGGCAGGAGGCTGCAGTCTCAGACTTCAGACCCACCCAGAGACATCCTTTCCCCAAGAGGCTCTCCCAGCTCAGGACATTTACACACGGGGCCCTTAGGCGCAGACATGCTGGTGTGGCAGGAAGTGACCTGGCTCCCAAACCAGGAGATGGTCCCCAGCCTGCAGAACAGCCCCATGGTCTCCACATGTCCACCACACACCGGGTTCTCCAGTCCTAGCATAGGTCACTAGCTGGAGGTGCAGAGGGAAAAAGGCAGCAGTCTGAGAACTCAGGGAAGTAGGGGCTGGGCTGGTGTGCAGACTCCCAGGCAGGGCCCACACAGATGTGGTCACAGTGCTGAGAACAGCCTGCTTCTGCTCTACCTGCCCAGGTCGGCCTTAGTGCAAGCAAGGACAGGGTGTCACAATGTTACTTGGGTGAGATCAGCCCCACCAGGTTTGTACACAGTGCTGGCCACTGAGGACAAGCCTGATGTCTCTGTGAGAGAGGCTCTTGCATGGGAGGTCCCCAGGGCTGGTCCTTCTCTGCACAGGACAGTGGGGCCTGGCCAGCCTGCTTTAGAGATGCAACAGAAAAGGGCACTTAGTACACAGGCCATGGTCTGGCCAGGCCACAGACACGGTCCTTCTTTAGGGCAGATCTACCACTGGGTTCCCCTGGTGCAAGGGGAAGGAGCCCCCAGGATGAAAAACAGGAATGAAGGAAAATGACTGCTTAATTACACTAAGTTGTGAGGGGTGTAATGCCTCTTACATCAGAAAGTAGGTCTCCAATTCTCACTCCCTGAAGTATATAAAGTATTCGAGGGTTTTTTGTAGTTGTAATCAAAAAAACCATTTCTCCAGCCACTGCTGGCCATATCTAATTAGGGTAAGGTGTGTTAAGGACACAAGTATGGCCCAGACATTTCCCCTTGTTACGTTAATTGCATTTAAAGAAAAAAGCATGAACCTTTCTTATGCTTACTAATTAGTGTGATTTGCTAATTAATAACAGAAAGTCCAACTGCCTTTGTCTTGTCTTCTGCAATTAGCTAAAGACATTTAAAGTTCTCCCCATTCTCCTAGCGGACTCGCTGTATGAGGAAACAGTAGGCAGGGGCTGTGGGCTGGTAGATGTGGAAGGTGCCAGGGCTGGCCGAGTCCCCAGCTATTGTGATGCCTTGCTCATGTGAGGATTTCCCTTGAGCCCCACTTCCCAGAGCTGGGTGCCCCTTGCCCTGACAGCCCCCATCCCTGGCACCCCTGCCATAGAGACAGAAGAAGTGAAATGAAGAATGTGAAGTAAGGGGCAGACACAGGGTAGAGTTAGAGATGAAAATCCTGGCTGAGGGTTTGGTGCAGTGGCATGTGCAAAGGATCAAGCTTAGCCTGGGCAACTTAAGAGACTTAGAGAAACCCTTTCTCAAAATAAAAAACAAAAAAAGGGCAGGGGATGTAGCTCAGTGAGAAAAACATGGATTTTAAAAATATGGCAGAGAGAATATCACAGCCCTGTCCTACAATAAGCCTGCAGAAACCTGCCCAAGGTGCTGGTGTCCCGTCTGTCTGCAGCAGAGGTACCTCGACTTGGGGCCAGTCATGAGTCAGCTCAGAGACGAGGCGCCACACACCCTGACCAATTCTTCAGGGTCAGAGAACAGTAACATTTCATCAAAAGCCTCTACTGGATGTCCCAAGACCCTTGGCAAGCTGGGGGAGGGCTTCTACACAAAAGGGTACAAACCCTAGAACAGGGGTTCCCAACCTGACAGTGATTGGGCAGAAGTAAAATCACCACCTTGCCCGGGGCCCCTAACATCCTAAGTCAATGGCTGCAGTGGGTCAGGTACTCCGAAGCTCAGGGATTTCACACAGAAAAGAAAGTGTGTGTCGGGGAGGTGGGCAGAGATGAGGAGAGGCAGGTGAGCCAGGGGCTGAGTCCCACTAAGCATACCCACAGCCCCCAGGGGCCAAGGCCTCCCACTTCTCCAGGGAGGGGCCGAGGGCCAGTGATTTTCCAAAGCCCCATGGGAGCCAGGGACAAGGCATTCGAGCTTCTGCAGCAAAGCAGGGGATCTAAACTCAAGGACAGCCCTAGGCAACCAGCCAGCTGCTCAGCCATAGCGCCATGGGCCTGGCATGTGCTTAGCACAACTCATTTCTAATTCTTCTTGCCTCGTGCACATTATGAAAACAAGGCCCTTGGGCTCGTTTCAATTCAGGTCAACACCGAGGAAGCCATGCATGGTGACACTCTGAACATCAGGGTCTCCCCGGGCTGTGCAAATGGATGTGCCAGTCCTCAAGGAACTCCTCCGCCCACCCTACCTGTGGCTTCCCCAAAGTCAACACTGAATAGGCCCTTGCTGGAGGAGCCTGCAGGGCCCAGCTAATGAGGACAGAGCACGGACAGGGCAGGGACTAGAACGGAGTAGGGACTAGGGCAGGGACTAGGGCAGCCCACAGGACAAGGAGCGTGGTGCCAACAGCAAATGCGGGAGGAGGAGCGCGCTGGAGACTGTGGAGGATGATACCAGCACTAAAATGGGGGATGAAGGTCCAGAAGGGGGACATGTGGACAGCTGTGCACTGTCACTGCCTCCCTCCTCCTGGAACCCAGAGCCCATGGCCTACAGCTTGCAGCCCTGTCCTTGTCCCAGCCCCAGGAAGCTGCCCCCCATCACAGCAGCTTGCTTTCCACTGCTCATCAAGGCAACTATTCTCCCAGGACCCACCTTGTAGCCCAGCCTCTGCCCTTCTCCTACAAGCCCACAGCCAACCCCTGGGCAGGGCTGTCCATACTTACACCAGGAGCCAGTCCTGCCTGCCCTTACCCAGATCACCCAGGATGCTGCCCCAGACCCAAGGACTCTGCTGCTGACACAGCTCCACCTAGCAGCCAGCCCACTCTCCACTCCCGCACCCCAGAGGACAGAAACACCACCTAAAAATCCAGGGCCAAGTCTGACCCACCAGCCCCAACTCAGAAGCCCTAGCCCAGTGTCCAGCAGGCCCCTGACGTCCCCTCCACTCGTGCTGCAGCACTGACCTGGGTTCCCAGCCTTCGTATTCTCTATGCAACCGGCATCTACCTTCTTCAAATCTGACCTGCTTAACAAAGCCCACTGCAACCTTGGTCCTGCCATGCCCTGTACTGGTGCCCTGTCCTCATAGCTCCTGTGCACAGAACAGCCAGGCCATCTTCCAAAAAACAGAAGTACCACATGCGTACTGTGGAAGAGTTGCCCTAGTCCCAGAAAATCTCTGCTGTTCCACAGCTATCGTGGGGTAGACCTGGGAAGGGCAGTGAGGACTGGCCGGGTCCTCTGGGCTCAGGGAGGGTGGCTGCCTCCTCCCCCCAGTGAAATCATGCCTTCACTGGGGGACCATAGGCCTGCATGGCTGGAGCCTGGCCTTTCCAAGTCCCTTCCAGTCCCAGCTTTGGTCCCCTCTGTCCCCTCCTGCCACCAGCTCAGGTCACTTGGGCCTCAGCTCCAGGCCTTCTACAGAGGCCCAGTTCCCCTCTTCCTCTCCCCAACCTGGAAGTAGTCTTCAGTGACATCTTGCTATTGACTTACAGCCAAACCCTCATGTTACCACATGTGAGCCATGAGGGCAGGACCATGTGATACCTGTGGCTGTGTCTGCAAGGGTGACAACATCCCTTGGTGCTACTGAAAGGATGGCCAACATGCCAGAGCTCTGCAAAGCCTCCCCTTATGTGTACAGCCCTGCCTGGCCCTACCTTCCATAGCTGGGTTGGGTGTGAGCCTCCTTGTAGCCTTCTCAAGCTACGCAGCAGTGCTGCTTGACATTAGGCCCCTGAGCACCACCCACCTGGCTCCTAGCAAGGGCTCACACCTGCTGCACCATATGTGTGGGCAGTAACCTCATTGGGATAAGAAGAATTAGGGTCAAGCACAGAAGAGAAGCCATAGAACTGTCAATGAGTCTTTGGTTGACCAGTATTGCATGTCTATATCTGTTTTCATGAGAAGCCACTTTGAAGATATCAATATGTAATACAAC